CTCTCTTGGGAGAGCTCAACCAGAAATTTCTGTGCCTTTTCCGTTCAACCTTACGAACATTAAAACTGCATCAGAACCTCATCTAATGAGAGGTAAGAACCTGGCACCAGGCAGCACCACTGTGGAGCCCCACACAACCTAAGGCAGGTTGGCTTTTAGACACTGGGGTTGGAGAGGGAGCCCAGGAGAGAGAAAAGCGTTTCTGTAGCCGATCCAGCTCCTACATTTTGCTGCCAGAGCACAACACAGAAGCGCCTGTTTGAGCAATTGAGCATGATGTGACCTGAGAGTCCCTGCAACGTTTCTGTTCCCTTCCCCAGGGCAAAGAAAAGTTTTTGAGTTTCACTGGGCATTTCAGCAAGGTGATGTACAAACTTGTGCAAAACACTGTGCTTGGTTCTCACAGTCATAAGATAAACAACAGAAGCAAATTGAAAGAGCCTTCTTAAGAGCTCTTCAGCTGCAAAGCGAGTTCTTCCTGGGTTAGGATGGGCGCACACTCAATCTGAAAAAGCAAAGCAAACTGGTTAATATACACACACACTCCAGATGGGACAGGCAAGAGTTATAGAGAGCAACTGTTAATAAAAAACCACATTAATACTGTCTTGAATAAGAGGATCCATGCAGTGATGAGTGCTGCATGAATGCAGCAGAGACGTGGGGACTTGCTTTTGCAGCTACCAGCTGCCTTGATACACCATCAGCTGTTTCTTTAGGTCAGCAAAACCTGTCTTGTGTGGTGAAAGTACGACACTAAAACTGCTGGCTGCCTGTGGTGCCAGCTCTGCACAGGGATTTTCTGGTGGGGTTACAGCAACCAGGGTTTATTCTACCTGGCCCAAACCAACTCAGTGCCTAGCAGAGGACTCCCAGCTGTGCTACCCAGACCTCTGACAGGGCTCAACCTCGAGGGAGGAAAGCAACTTTCCACTTGGGAGTTACGTGGTAGGAAGAAGAAAGACTTTAGAGGAAGCTCATGATGTGCAGTGGGAAGTCATAAACCGTGAGTGGCATGCACGTGAAATCCCAGATACGAGGTGTCTCAGCGCACACTCTTGTGGCTGGAAAAGTGTTTGAGTGAGCAAACTGCAGCCAGGAAGCAGCTGTGCCACAACCTTCACCTGATCTGTCTGCTCCGCTTGCTGGAGACAGACCTGCAGAACCTCGACCTGTGTCGCCACGCGCTCCGACAGGTCCCGGAACGCCTTCTGCAGCTCGTTGAGCAGCCGCAGCAGCTGCCTGCTCTGCTGAGGGGTCAGGTCCTGGGCGTGCTCCGAGATAAGGAACTGGATGTCGAAGGCAGTGGCATCGAGCTGAGCCTTGGTGTCAGCGAGGGGCTCTTTCAGCTCCTGAAGGGACGAGAAAAGACCCTCAGGCTGAACTGCTCTGCGCTGCCAGCTTCTGATGGGGCACGCAAGCAGCACGGGCAGCAGTGTGTGCCCAAAAAAGCACTGTGTCACCGAACGCTGTACTCCATAATCCCAAGGGACCCCAAGCACACAGCACTGAAGTGACAGCCTTGTCACACCAATTCTCCAAGGCTCTGCTAAGCACCTCCAGCACCTTGCCAAGAGACCGCTCACGCCCTGCGTGTGAGGCTGTCCCTGAGGACGATCCAGGTCCAGAGTTGCTGGCAGCCCTGCACAGTCTGTGATGACCACACATGGCACCAGAGGCTCTCAGCCTTCAGTCCCCTGACTCTGACTGCCCAAAAACAGGAGGTGCTGAGCTGTCCAAATCTTGAGAGCTGTTGCTACAAGGTGAGTGGCTGTGGAGGGGGGCCTGGGCTCCTCATTCAGGTGATGGAGATCTGGGCAGGTGTGATGGAGGGGGCTGCTGGACCCCCTGGAGGCAGCAGCTCTCAGCCTCGCAGGAATCCCTGCCGGCTGCTCAGCCTCCACCAAACACATCTGCATTTGAGCATGTTCCCATAACGGCCAAAGCAGATGGTTCATGCATTGTGGAAACAAATGACTTTGGAGCAAATACAATACTGCTGCTCCTCCTGCAATGAAGGATAATGGCAAACCCACCAAGGCTCCAGGAGGGGAGCAGGATTAAAAGCTTCTCCTCTGCACAGAGGACAGCAACTCCATCCATCGGGAAGGATTAGGGGCATCGCCATGGTTACCTTGTAGTGTTGGAGGCAGCGACTCAAGCTGTTTGCATCCATCCCATGGTGGTAATCGCTGCTGTCCAGTGACTGTGCAGTGTCAGAGACCCAGCTCAGCAGCTCCTGCAGTTTACCCTGGAGAGTCTCGTGATGCGTCATGATTTTAGCCTTAAAAACAGAAGTGCACCATTCAAACAAGGAGCAGGGCACTCCAGGGAACCACCAGGATGCGCAGGGTGGGGGGACAGCAGGCAGCAGGGACAGCTGCCAGCTCTACCTTTTGGGTTTCCGCTGCACCACGCAGGTTTAGCAGCCGGGACTCCAGGATATCACTCGCAGAGCTCAGAGACTTCTGGAGGTTCTTGGCATCCTTCTCCAAAGCCTTCAGTAGTTGCTCAGGGACTTCTTCAGGCGGGTTGGCCACAATCCACTTCACGGCGTCCAACTCCTGATTCACTGGAAAGCTGAGTTCCTGCAGCTCAGCGCCCAGGGCCTGAGGCAAGACAGCATCATTAAGTCTATGGTACGGTTCATCTTCCCACTGCCAAAAGTGATAGCACTGCAGAGGTTTTGGAGAACCAGCTCCAAACACCGCGTGTATCTGCTGGCAAGATTCACTGCAATCGACCCGTTCATGCAGCCCTGCTCAGCTGCCAGCACTCGACTGTCTTTCTCCAGGCTGTAAAATTCATTTCAGCCACACTTAGGTTACTGTCTAAGCACGAGAGGAAGGTAAGCCAGAGAGAGTGCCAGAGAGATGGGGTTTGAATATAAATGCCAGTTCAGCCTGAGGCTAACACCCCGCTTGCTCCCAGAGCAGGGAGGAGGCACAAGAGGAAGCCTGAGAAGTGCTGGGAAGAGGAGGGGAGAGCTCGGCCCTGCCTGGTGCCAGCAGCGCTCACCTCAGCCTGCTGCAGCAGGTCCTGCAGGGCGGCCAGATTCTGCTCTGCTGGCTGCACACGTTTAATTCTCATCTCAATATCTCGGAGCATGGAGAGATAGGAGATCAGCTTCTCGTCGTGCTCCAGGCACATCTTCTTGCTGAACTTGATCTACAGAATCAAATGGTAAAACAAAACCTCAAGTTTAGAGAGAAAACAGACAATTATACATATATCTGCTTCTTTTAAAAAATATAAATGCAATCTCTTAATAGCACTCCATTTCAGGGACTTTCCACTTGGTAGCCTTATCTACAAGATTTACTACAGGAAAAATAGAGTACACGGCTCTTTTTCCAGCATAAGCTTATAAATGGCAAGAGATCTATTGTGTTACAGTAAAAGTGCCAAAAAATGGTCCTACTTATTAGTCATTTGTAAGTAATGCTCTAGCAAAAAGAAGCCACAACTAAGCCTCGAGTGTTTCCAGCACTACATCACTGGGTCCTTTGCCAAATCCATTGCAGCTGATGCTGTAACATCAAGCCCCAAACATCCACGACTCACGTTCTGGCTCTCCTCTGTGCCGAGGACCTGGGACAAATTTAACATCAAACATACACAAAAAGCATGTAAAAATGCTGAAACAGCAGAAAGCAGTCACCCACCTGGGCTGGTCTTGCAGACTCCATCGAGGTCTCCAGCAGCTCCCCCTCCACGATCACGGGTAGGAGCAGGCCCCGGTCACCAGGTCCCTGCTGCCGGGGCTTCTCCTGGGGCGCTTCTCCGGGGGCACTGGCTCGGCCTGCGCTGGGCTCCGCTGGTTGCTCCCGTGGGGTGCTTTCTCCAAGCTCCAGGGTTGCAGAGGTTTCCTGAACCTCTCCGGGCTCCTCTCTGATGATTAACTCATCTGGTTTTTCTCCTGCCGCCGGGGCTGTGGTGAGCACCTCGCTGCTGGTTCCCACCTTGGCATTTTCCTGGGTCTTCCTCTCCTCCAGTTCAAGTGGCACAGAGAGATCGTGCCCCTTTCCGCTCTGACCTTCTGTCACCGCTGGAGCTTCCCCTTGTTCTGGGAGAACAGGGAGCTCCTGGTCCCCTGGGAGGATTGCTTCATCTTTCTCAGAAATTGGCTTCTCTTTGTCATCCCTGCTGCTCTCCATCTGCTTTTGCTTGGCTGCATCTTTCGCCAACCTCACAGTAACCTTGGTGGCTCTCTCAAGTTTTGGTTCTGGAGCACTTGAGATGAAGTCCCCCTCCTTCCCTGGAACTTTCTTTGGCTACTGGAGCAGGAAGGGGCAGCTTTTCCACAGAAGATTTCTCTGGCTGAGCACTGTCCGCTGGGACACCACTCTGCTTTGTTCTCTTTTTCTTGCTTTTCTGTTTTTGGGTAGGTTTTCGCTCAGTTTCACCTCCTTCTTCTCGATCTGCTTCTGCATCCAGTCTTGGGGCTTCTCCTACAGGGTGCCTGACAGCTCTTCCATCTGCAAGCTCATCTCCTGCCAGCCTCAGAGGGACACCAGTCTCGGGGGGTTCTCTGGACGTTGTAGGACCCAGCTCTTCCTTCCCGTCACCCACAGAAACAGCTTTCCTCGGGGCTGCCTGTACTGCCTGAGCCAGGCCTGCTGCCTGCTGCCCCCTCACTGCACCTTCCCCTGCCACAATCCCTGTACTAAGATCCCCCTCCCTACTCCTCTCCGTGCCGCCCTCAGCACCGTGAGGCACCTCTGTGTCAAGGAACGGCCGCTGGTCCTCAATCCCCAGCCCTTCCACTTTTCCCGTCCCCTGATCTGCTGCTTCCCCCCTCGATTCCTGCCCCAAGGCCACTCTCACATGGGAGCTGCTTTTTGCAACCCCCTTCCCTGTAGCCTTTCTCACTGCTGTCCCTTCAGAGAGAGGTGCTGTGCCTAATACTAAGGGCTGTTCTGGAGCCACTTCAACCTCTTGTTGTCTCTGATGTGTGACACCATCCCCCAGAGTTTCTTGAGGAAGCAGTTCTGGTTTTCCTTTCCTTGGCATCACCAGGGATATGGCAGGAGCAGCGGCTGTGTCCCCAGCCAGGCCGCAGCTCGCAGCTTCAGACCTGGCCTTGTGCTCAGCACCACCGGGCTTCCCTGCAGCACTGCTAGGGAGGACACCTTCCTCTTCTGGAGGTGTTTTTTCCACTTTTTTCCTGGGAAAGGCGGGGTTTATCTGCTTTGAGGACCTCAGAACCATGTCTGTCTTCGGATATCTGTGAGTCTTGAAGAGTGGCAGCTAATTTTTGGCTAATCAGGCCTTTTTCAACAGCTTCCTTTACAGTCAGTCTTTTTCCACTGCTAGCATCGACAATTCCTCCGCCCCTCATCTGGCTGGTCGCGATGACTTTGGCCATTTCCTCATCCAGCAGCCCCTGCTCCACAGCAGCCTTCAGGGACAGCCTCTCGCTGACGGTGCCCTCCACAAACCCCCCGCTGTCGGCCTGAGCCTGCAGCAGCCGCAGCGTGGGCAGGGGGTCCACCTTCCCCAGCTTCACCGCCTGGGCACACGTCAGCTTGCTCCCCGTCACCTCATCCTTGATGGCTCTGAAGGGATGGACCTCCAAATACCTCTGGCCAGATTCAATGTCAATCTTACACTTCTTTATGAACTCTGAGTAGGGCACGAGCATGCAGTTCTCAGGATCTACAATGCCTTGTTTCACTTCTGGAGACGCCTAGGACCTTCTCCACAACCTGCCTGGGCAGCAAGCCCTCCTTCACCTGCCTGGCAGAGCGCCAGTCTCTGGCCAGAAGCAGGATCGAGGATGCTTCCACCCCCGGCCTGGATTTCTTGCACTTTCCTCTGGAAGTCCGGACTAACAAGCCCTACTGCTACTGCCTGGGGCAAGGGCACCTTCTCCTTCGTTACTGGATGAACGTATTCATGCTGGCACACGCTCTCAGCCTTTGTGAGTTCATTACATAAATCTTGATTGATCAAATCGTGCTTCATCGCGTCATTTACCGAAAGCCTCATTCCAGACACGTGATGAATTATTCCTCCGTCTGCAATCTGCTTGGTCAAGAGCTCAAATGCTTTTTCCTTTTCAAGGAGCCCTTTTTCCACAGACTGCGCAACAGTCAAAGGATGCTTGGTTTTGGGATCCACAATTCCACTGGTTTCAGCCTGCAAGCTAATGAGCTTCTGCCTGGTTGCCTCATCGGTGCTTTTCCCTTTGGAAGCCTTCTCCAGCTTGACCAGCTCTTTCTGACTAGTTGGCTCTATGAGGCCAAGATTTGAAGCCAACGTGACTGATATTTTTTTGCCACGTTTCAAGTCAACAATCCCTCCAGTAACCACCTGCCCTTCCAAGATCCTCATTGCCGTCTCCTTGTCTAGAAGGCCAACTGCAGCAGCATCCTTGATAGAGTAGACAAAGTTATTGCCTGGGTCAAGAACACCGCTTATGGCTTTGTCAGATGCCAGAACCTTCTGGAGAAGCTTCTCATCCATTAAGCCTTCTTCAATGACGTCCTCGGTGGTTAATGATTCACATGTCTGTGAGTCGAAGAAGCCACTGAACATCTTCATCTTCTCCATCAGTTTCACATGCCGTGTGGCCAGGCACCACTCCACAGGCCACCGCTTCGTTTAGAAGAAGAGTCTTTCCTGTCTGCTCATGGATTATGCCACCACTCTGGAGCTGTGTTAGCAACATTTCCAAAGTGTCCTCCTCATCCTGCTCTGTAGGGGCTGGCAGGGATGTGTCATCAACACACTCAGCACCCGCCGCTGCTTTCCTCTCTCCTTCCTCCACTTTCAATACACCTTCAATGCTTTCAGTGTGCCTCTCCGTTTGCTCAGCCTGTCCAGTTCTGAGGAGCACAATCTCCTCTCCTCCCACCAGTGCCATTCTGTATTATTTCCTCTTTTAGCAAATAAATCTCTCTAACATCGTCCACCTCTAATTCAGGTTCCTGCTCATCCTGAGACCTCTCTGCCATTATTCCAGTCTCTCTGTACTTTCAGAAATACCCACCAACATGTGGCGTTCGCTTTTCACATCACCTGCCCCAGTTTCCAAAGTCCTCTTCTGATCTCTGATATTTTCCACTCCACCTACTATAATAGGCTTGGACTCTTCTGTCTCAATCATCATTTCTTCCGTTTCTCTGAATCCACTACCAGAATCACCGGGATGTTCTGGCACAGATAATTTTACCTGATGTCTGTCCTTGCTTGTAGAAGTGATTTGCTCTCTACCAAGTTTGGATTCAGTCTCACTTTGGAAGGTAGCCTGTTCAGTGTAAATCTGCCCTTGCTCCTCCACAAGCAGGATATCTTCTGCACCTTCCAATGGGAGGCTTGCAGGTCCCATCACCACCTCTCCGTTCTCCAAAGCAGTTCTGGGTGGCAGGACCTTTTCACTTTGCTCTTTTGAAGGAGCAAATTGAAACTCAAGCTGCTGCAAAGCCAAACCGTTGCAAGGCTCTCTTTCAAGAGCTGCATTTGCCTTTGTCTCCTCAAAGTCTTTCACTCCCTTCCAACACATGTTCGTAGGATCCATTCTCTTGGGTTTGGATGAGGGCTTTAGTGAGATTGTTCAACTCTCCGTCTACCAAGAGCAGCTTCTGGCCATCGTGGATGTTGATGTAGCTGTGGGTCATCAAGTGGAACATCAGCCTTTCATCATCACTCCTTAGCAGAGGGTCACTTTGCTCTTTGTGACCTGGGGGACTCTTTCCAGAGGAGCTCTGGCCATTCCTGCTTCTGCTTGGAGAGCCAGCGAGCTGCACGCTGGCCATGACATCAGGTATGACTGTTGATTTCAGCTTCTTCGCTACGTCTCTCTCTAAGATGCCATGGTCAACTGCTTTCCTCCAGGACAACTACCTCCGTGGTTTCTGGTATAAAAACAGCCTTAATGAGTTGCCTCTTGCTGAGAATCTTGTAAACCAGCTCTGTGGACAGAATTCCTTGCTCTAAAGCATCTGCAACTGGGATGATCTCTCCTGTCTCTGGCCACAGGAGCCCCATGAAGGACCAGAGGGATTCCAGGACCACCAATGCAATCCTTGGTGCTACCAACTCTTTCCTTACAGCTTCGTCAATGGTCAGTCTCTCTCCTGTGACTGTATCAATGATGCCACCTGTCTGGAGCTGCCGGATTAGAAGTGTGCATGCCAAATCCTGGTCGATTAAATTATGTCTCACAGCCTCGTCCACAGTCAGCCTGTGCCCTGTCCTGGGGTCAACGATGCCACCAGCAAAGAGCTGGGCTTCCAGCAACCTCACTGTTACCTGTCTGTCTATTAGCCCTTCCTGGACGGCACGGAAGATGCTGACTTTTCTGCCCGATTTCAAGCTCACCATCCCACCCGCCAGCTGCTTGACTGGGAGCAGCCTCAGTCCAGTCTCTTGGTGGATGATGCATCGGTGCATGAGCTCTGGCAGACTGATTTTCTCTGCAGTGTTGGGGTCAATCAAATCCTTGCCACATTCCAGGTGAGACAGCAGTCTGGAATAAAGCTGTGGGGTAAGGAGCCTTTCTTGCAGAGCTGTCTCCATGCTGATTCTGCCCTGAGGGGTTTTAAAGCCCCCAGTGACGAGTTCAACCTCAAGAATCTTTAGCCCAATGCTCTCACTAATCCTCCCCTCTTCTATCGCAGCAGCGACAGGTAGGAGCTGCCTCCCTTCATGTCGGACTTCATCTACCCGCTGGAGAGCATCCTTCAGTTCCTGCAGCACCTGGAATGTCCTGAGATCAATGATGTTTCTTGCCAGACCTTCCTCCAGGGAGAGTTTTTCACTGGTCTCTGGAACATCCAAGTCAGATGTGATAACCTGAGCCTCTAGGAGGACAAGGCCAGTATCCTGATCTATCAGACCTCTCTGCATGGCACCAAAAACTGGGAATATTTCTACTGTGCCAAGATCGATCACTCCCGCCACTGCTCCGCTGCCCTAGAACAGAAAGAGAAGGAAAAGAATCAAACCAAAATCAAACATTTCCAGTGCTTGGATTGCATGAGATCTAGGGAGGTACCAGTTTAAAAAAAAAAGTTTCAAAACCCCAAACAGGCTAGAAAGCAAGTCCCAAAGTGTTCAAAATGCAATTCCAAAGGCATTGCAGCACACAAATTGGTGCATTTGCTAGCTTTCAGGTTGCCAGTGAGTTTTGATGCACAGCTAGTCCATCACCAAGGGCAGCACCCAAATGCTTCCAACATCCACCACCAGTAATGCAGTAAAACAGCAAGCAGCAACACCCAGACATGTTCCTAATGCTCCACAGAGAAACAGGGAAGGAAATCGACAAACACATCAAAACTGTCCAACGACTCCATTTAAAAAAAAAAAAAAGACAACATGAATCCCACTTTGTACTAACAGAAGAGAAAAAAAACAAAACAAACAAGGATGTCACTTCAGGGTATCCAGGAAGCTCTCCCAGTGCAGTTTCCACCCTGATTCCTGCCATGCTTAAATCCTGCTCTTTAATGCAGGATGCCCAGGGAACACCGGGGGTCTCGTGCCATGGAGCAGCTCCCCAGCACCACAACCCGCCAAGCACGAGAGCATGGGCACTGCCCTGACATGCACAGCGACTCCCCAAGCACATCCAACTGCTCCAGCACCTGGAGGCAGCCGTGCTCTTTAGGGCAAGGGAAGAAATATAAGAAGTTGTCGCTCCCAGCATGGAGACAGTGACAGACTGGGAACAGACCACCTAACTTTGGTATTTCTGGAGGGCCTTTTCCTTCTGGCACCCCCACGGGGAGGGGAAGAATTCAGATAACGACACAGAGTAAGAGCGCTCTGGACCTTTGGATTTCTCCCAGGTGCACGGTTTAGGTGTAAAGTTGGCCCAAGCACTAAAATATTTCTGTTGGGACAGGGAGGAGTGAATCTGGATCCCTGGGAACTCAGATGTTGGTAACAAGAAGTCTGACAGCCCTGGCAGGCGGGTGCCTTGGAGCAGTGGCACAGCAGAGGATGCCACCTCCACCACGCTGTGTGCAGCTCCCCCAGCCACGGAGGCTGGGTGGGTCTGCTGGGAAACACCAAGCTCCCACCAGCATCACCAGACTCTGACATGCGTGTTTGGAAATGAACAAGCCATTGAAAGACAGAGAAGAGGAGAAAGAGGATGATAAAGAGGAGATGGGAGAGAGGGAGTAAAAGGCTTTTACTTACCAGAGTTGCAGGGTGTGCCTTGAGCAGTTAAAGACAGAGCCTTATGGAGCAGTTCAGCCGTATCACACACAGTGTAAAGCTTGGTGTTAGCGTCCAGCATGCGACTGTTTTGTTTGCAAAAAGAACCCCACACACAGGTCGTCCTCTTTCACTTTGTGTGTTTTGTTTAAGTCCCGGAGGGTTAGTTAAACTTGTAAGCAAGGATGTCAGTTAATCTTAAAAACAGTTGACGTGAAACACAAACTGTACAGGGACACATCATGCTCAATTTAGCGCGTTCTGCTTTGCTTTTTTTTTTTTTTTCTTTTTACTTTTATAACCTCTGTCTTGACAATTGGATGTTTCCAGCAAGCAAATGTTAAGAGTCCTTCATGCTCCCTGTACAATGAAGCAACTGTACCACACAACAGCCACATAACAATCTCATATATGGGCCAAGGATCTATGGCAGAGCCCCAATGCCATCTTGTTTCTTTTCCCAGGCTTTGTCGAGAACGTGAGTGAAAACTGTTCTGTCCTGAGCCCCACAGCACGCTCCTGCTGCAGGGAAATGGCCCCAGGAGAAGGCTTGCACACCAAGGTTGTTTTCCTGCCCGGGAGGGAGGAAAAGGGAAAGGGAACAGTGTCCTTTCCACTGGCAGGCTTCTCTCAGCTGCAGCAGTGGCAGAGGCGTTGAAGCCGATGGCTGAGCCGCCACCACTGCCTGGAGTAGGTTTGTTGTGCGGGGCAGCTGGCACTGCGGGCTCGCTCTGCCAGACAGGGGCTAACGGGACTTTGCATGGAGACAGCCAAAATGTGTTGGGAAGCCCAATTCAAAAGGGAGATGCTGTATTTGTAAGTGAAAGCTGGAGATACAGATCTCGGATAAGCAGCCCTATCCCCATCTTCCCCTGATCTGCTAGAGCAGGGCTTCACTCACGGACCCAGCAGCCCAAACCCGCACCACGTCCAGATCTGAGTAGGCCGTTGCTTCAGAGTACAGGGAGCCAGCAAGCAAACACACAAATATATCCATCGACACATGTATATACACTTATATAACACGTACATGTATATCTGTGAACGACTGAGGACAGCTCACACCAGCACAGAGGCAGTAAGGACGCGCCTGGAGCCCCCCTACCCCACGGGACTGGCAGGAGCACTGGGGCCCAGCGGGCCCAGCTGAGGGCAGCGCAGATCCCGTGTTTGCTGGGGGCCTGGTGGGACAACGCAGTCCCCTTCCACTTGGAGGGCAATTCTGGCACAACCCAAACAAATCCCTCGCCAGGCCCTGAGGTGTGTGAGGCCATGGAGGTGAACGTGCTTCTGCAGAAACCCACCTCCGTGTGCCTCCTGCATGCGGGCCGCCTGCGAGCCCCAGCCTGCCCTGGTTAAACACCACACGGGCATTACTGGAGGAGACAGGCTTGCCAAGGGCACCACTTTCAGGGCAGAACTCCATTTCCCTCTTTGCCCACCACGTGAGCAAGCCAACCTTTTCACAGCTCTGACTGAAAGCATCGCAAAGGACAGCTCCCTCTCAGGGACCTGCAACAGGAGGTCAACGGCTCCTGCTCGGCCACCAGTGGCCACCCCAGCCCAGCCACTTCAGGTCATGGACAGAAGAGATGGGAGGCAACCACATGCAAGTAAGAAAGCTGATGGGCAGGAGTGGCCATGAGACACACAACCGAGCACAACCGTGCTCACACCCTGAGGAGGGCCCTGAGCCGTGCGGCCACCGGGCCGAGCGGGGACCAGTACCTTGTGCTCTGCCTCCTGAGCCAGCTGGCTCTGCAGCTGCTGGAGCTGCTCCGTGGAGTCGCTGCAGAGCGCCTGGTAGGTGTCCTTCAGGGCAGCGATCTGAGCAGAAATCTGTTC